TTTTAACTAATACAACTAAAAAATAAAATAATAAATAATTATATATATATATATATATATATATTTTTTATATATACTTTTATATATATGTAAAATGGTTCTCAAAAAATATAAAAATGATATAAAATCAATTTATCTTCTTAATCTTTTTTCATGTGGTATCGCAAAATCTTTCAATGGTACAATGTAACTGTGAGGTTTGCACTATATAAATTTTTTCTTTTTTATCTGTTCCTATTTTATTTTTCAAGGTTTTATGATTTTGAATATAAACATCAAGCTAAATTCTCGCTTTTAAAAAGGTTAAAATATCTACTAAAAGAAGCAAAGCTTTGCAAATAACGGCAACTTCCTTCATCGCAAATTGCGAAATTACATTTTCACTCAGCAACACGATGGTTTTGCGACAATCGCAATTATTTGCGCTGACGCGCGTGACGGCGGTACGTTCTGCACGACGTGCGCAATTATTTACGTCGCGTGACGTATCGCGCGATTGCAGCCGTTCCGTGTATTCGCAGCGAGCGTCGTCTACGTAACTTTGAAAGTCCAGAGCATTGAAATTATTTAAGGCGCTTACGGAGTAAAATAAACAAACAAGCCATAAATAATTTTACAAAAACAAAATTTACTTATTTTATATGCATAAACGTCAAAAGTAGTATTTAATATTATACCAACTATGGATTGTTCAGCTCCATCTTGCTTATTATATAATAATTACTCTCTTCATTAGACGCATGTTTCTTTACTATGAATATTTATTTCTTTGTTGTAAAGCAATTTTTTCAAATTCTTAAAATAATAAATAATAGATGTAGCAATAAGAAATATATTCGTTCTAGATGTTTAAATATAACATAGATAAATTCTCATAACAAGGCACTAGTCCTTTTATTTATGATAGAAAACGTTATTATTTACGATTGTGCACAATGCACACGGGACAACTGTTATCGCGCGCCAGCTTACAGCAAACTGTAATCCACTGGTGTCTAACCACATAGGTCGTGTTTCCACTATTCGATTAAAGCTGTATTTACTAGGGATTTGGACTGATATAGATTCCCAAATAAATGATATAATAATCAATTATAATTATTTCCAAAATTCAAAGTCAATTTTAATGAAATTGTTGAAAAAAATGATCATTATCCTTTTTTTTCTTTGCTTTAGAATTTTGCGAGTTGGAAAACCATGTAATAATGCGCGGTGTTTTATAACGGTTCGATGTAGGCTTCTAGATAAAATATTCTGCGGTCGATGTAGCAACAAGTGAGAGATGCCGACAAAAATAAGGCAACACCGACAATGAATAACTTGGTTTTATTGAAAGTTGCGACGGTCTTACGTTTGCGACAA